CTCTACCATAATTGCTTGGTAAAGCCCCAAACCTAGTTAAACACAGTCCTCCTCATCCCATGAATATGTTCTAGTTGATAGAGGGGGGGAGAAGAAAAGATTCCTCTGTAGATTCATCCCATTAACCCCAAGGGGAGGACATCTGGCATAGTGGTTGGGCTTCCTTCCTCCTGTATCACAGTGTCTGCACTGGAGCCCTGGCTCTCCTCCCAATTCCAACTTCCTGATAATGCACACTCTGGGAGGTAGCAGGTGATGGCTTCAGTAATCAGGTCTCTGCAACCCACGAAGGAGACCTGGACTGAGTTCCTCATTCCTGCCTTCCACCTGGTTTACCTCTGGCTGAGGTAGGGAACGAACCAGTGGATGGAACATGTCTGTTTCCCTCTTGCTACTTCTCTGCCTTTCAAATGAATAAAACATCTGCTTTTTTCATATATTTAACCTTAAATTTCAAGTTAGTACTCAGCATGACCCTAACATTAAACTACAGGATGACTAGAATAACTGTTTTCTTCACTCTCTGAACATTTATTCTCATTTTTTCCTCTGCCTCATAGATGGTGAACTCATTGATTTAATTATAGAAACATTATCAGTAATCACTTAATATAATTTTCCCACTGTGAAATGTACCAATGTACTTGCATCTGTAGCTGCGAAAGTAAGCTTCCCTTTTATTGCAATCACTACTGGCTTTGACTGCAAATAACTTTTCTCCAGTTATATCTATAATTGTTCAGTAGGTTAGATTAGGTATCCTATAATTTGAAAACAAAAGTTCTGCCCTCTCTGTTGTACAACGATTTTCAGTAAAGAACCACTGTGTATTTGATCACATTGTTTTATGTCTGCTCTTGCCCTTTGCTGATTTAACAATCTCTCTCCTCCAATAAATGGAAAGCATATACTCTCCTAGATGACAGACACAAATCAAAATCCCAAAACCCATCCTTAACCTCTTGTTCCTAGCTATTTACAACATCATTTATTACATAACAAATTGCTTGACAGGATTTTCTTTTCCTACCATCTTGCTTTCTCCATTCCTCATCCTTTACCATTTATTTTGGTATTTTTTTCTCTTCTTGACCTTTAAAATTTGGGATATCCAAGTGCTGAGTCACAGCTCTCTCTTTTAATCTCTTCTCCCTCCCTCCCTCTTACCTCCTTTTTTTTTTTTTTTCCCTCCTCCCTTCCTCACCTCTTCTTTATCATCTAACCCAACCAAAATGCTAATTCTACCAAATTTACAAGCCCCAAGTCTTTGCCTGGGTGTTTGATCCATACATTCAACTTGCTACTCAGCATATCTACTTGTGTATCTAACAAGCATTTCAAATTTCATGTGGTCCACAGACAATCAAAGCCAAAATTGACAAATGGGATTACATAAAGCTGAGAAGCTTCTGCACTGCAAAAGAAACATTCAACAACAAAGAGACAACAGACAGAATGGGAGAAAATACTTGCAAACTAGGTACCTGATAAAGGGTTAACATCCAGACTCTATAACAAGTTAAGAAATGGGCAGAGGACTTGAACAGGCATTTTTCAAAAGAGGAAATTCAAATGGCTAACAGACAATTGAGAAAATGCTCAGGACCACTAGCCATCAGGGAAATTTAAATCAAAATTATGGTGAGGTTTCACTTCACTCCAGTTAGAATGGCTCTCATACAGAAATCAACAAACAACAAATGTTGCTGAAGATGTGGTCCACTGCTGATGGGAATATAAACTGGTGTAGTCACTGTGGAAGACTGTATGGCAATACCTCAGAAATCTGATACAGACCTATCATATGATCTGGCCATCCTACTCCTGGGAATTTACCCAAACCAAAAGAGATCAGCATATCAAAGAATTATCTGTAACTCCCATGTTCACTGCAGCACAATTCACAATAGCTAAGATATGAAATCAAGCCAGATGTCCATCAACTGATGACTGGATAAAGAAATTATGGTATCTATACACACTATGGAGTACAACTCAGCTGTAAAAAAAAAAATGAAATTCTGATTCTGCAACAAGATGGATGCAATTGGAAACCATTATATTAGTGAAATAAGCCAGTCCAAAAAAGCCAGATTTCATGTTTTCCCTGATCCGAAGTAATAGAGTACCTGAAATGTAATGTATTAGATTGAAATACACATTTTGATATTCAATAATTGTTTATAGCCCTTGACTCTTCCATGAGCAGTAGTGCTTTTTTTCGCTTCTTCACACTATTTGTTAAACTCTTGTACTTAACATAGGATTAACTATACAATCATTAAGTAAAATGAAAACAGATCTTTGTAAAAATTAAGAGTAGGAATGTGAGAGGGAGGAGGAGGAAGGGTTGGAGTGTGGGAAGAAGGGAGGATTGGGGAGGGGAAGTGTCACTGTGTTCATAAATCTGTATATATGAAATACATGCACGTTGTATAACAAATAAAATTTTTAAAAATTTAAAAAATAATTTAAAAATTCATGGGGTCCAATTCCAAGTCTAAATGTCCTTCTACATTTCTGATAATCCTTGAAATATATTCACTGGCTGACTACGACAAAAAATTAGTATCTTCCTTGACTTCTGCTCCTCTCAAACTGCTAAAACCAATCAATCTGACTCCTTACTAACTCTACCTTCAAACGTTCTTGAACAAGAATATGCCTTACTTGATCCACTGTAACTACTCTATTCTAACTGACATCTTTCACAGCAGGAAACTGTTCTTCCTGACTCTTTGACCTCTTACAGTTTAGCCCCACAAAAAGGACAATTATTTTTCAATTAAAATAAATGAAAATATATCTTTTGCTTTAAACTCTGAAAGAAGAACTATAGTATCTGTCTCTTGCCTTTTTCACTTCTCCCATTTTCCCTCACAAAGGCTTCATGATTTTCATGAAATAAACCAAGATCATACAGGTATCTTAAGCAATAGACCTGTGGGCTCCTATCCCTGGAATGGACCTTCCTGGGTACCTGCATGATCCACTGCTCATTTCAGAAATGTCTCTGTTTACCTTTCATCTACTCAGAAAGCCACTCCCTGAGGCTCCTTCTCAATGACGACAATCATACTCTCCCACCTTACTTCAGTCATTATTTTATCGCACTGATGCCCATATATAATTTTACCTGGTTACTTGTTTTCTTCCCCTCTTTCCTACTTTCTAACTGAATGTGCACTGTGTAAAAGGCATTACTGTGTAAAAACAGTTGAGTATGACACACAGGGTCCTTCCAGTCTTGGACTGCATGTTTTAATAGGAGAGGCAGACAGGAATAACTTTAGACAAATATTTCTAAAGTAGTGCTACAGTAGTAGAAATGCATGGGATGCTAAGAGAGCGAGCCTGAAGGCATAACTCGTCTGAAAGCCAGGGAAAGCTTCTCTGAGAATATGCTATTCAAGCGGAATTCCAGAGGACTTCAGAGGCAGAGGAGAGGACAGAGAATTTTTTACAAAATCCTTGGCATATTGCAAAGAACTCTCACTACAGGGAACTTCCTGTTGTGCGTGTATGGGTGTATGTGAGTGTGTCTACATGTGTGTATTCACGTATTTACAAACATCTGCTACTTTGCTGTCTCCCTCTAGAGATGAGCCATAAATCCTCAAATCAACAAGGGTCTCAGTGATTATCTTAAAAGAAAAGGCAAATAATTCCATAAATTGAAAGAACAGTGGAAACAGAACTTGGCTAAGTCTTTGGGACTAGGCCAGGGAAAGATATACGAGGCATGAAGAAATAACCTGGTCATAAAAGCTGTTCATTCCTTGAGTTTCAACTACTGAGTCTACTGACCTCAATCACAAAAACGAGAATATCAATGTTGTTGTGGCACAGACACTGTAATAGCTTTTGGCTCTACAGTTTCAGTTCAGTGAGATACTTGCAATTTATTTTGTTTTAAGAAGACTTTGAATATATGAATATTTTAGAGCTACAAAAAGAAGAAAAGTCTTTAAAAAGTTAGCACTCAGTCTTTTTCTCCAATTGTATTCCCAGGTAGTAATAATGGAGACAGGCTGAGGAGAGTCGTGTTTATTAACCACTGGAAAGGTTAATAAATTAAATGAACAGAGAAGATTGTTTTCAAAACAAATAAGGACTAAATTTTGGGGTGAGTTAACTTCTTGTTTGTAAGAGAAACAGGAAAGGACCTCGTTGGTAATAAAGAGTGGCAACTTAATCGTTACCAATGAATTTCAATGTCTGCGAAAGAAGTGCTGTTGGGAATTCAGTCAGACAAAGTGGTGAAATAAACCAATCCAATTAATGGGACTATTTAACCCTTCCCTGAATGACTGACTTCTCCTCTAGCAAGGAGACTGGGGAATTTAGTGCAAGCACTGTCTTTACTACAACAGCCCTGGGTTTACAATGCTAATGGAAGTATGATCCTGAACCAACAAGGAGACCTGTGTCTTGCAGGGCTGAGCAAAGCCAGACTGTGCTGGTTGCAAGGACACCAAATTAACTCTTAGGACACACAATAGATACTAAAGAAATGGAGGCTCCAGCCCTTGCTTCTGGAAAGGTAAAGGTGAGGTGAGGGGAAGCACAAGTGCAATGGGGCATTTTCCTGATGAAGATCTTCGAGGAACTCATGGTGGCAGCTGAGTAAGCCCCCTTCCTCTGCATCACCTTAAAGAACACGCCTCTATAAGCTAGTAACCCCCTGCACTGCAGTGTCAAAAAGAAGCCATGACAGAGAGAATAAACTTGTGCACAGAGTAATGGAGGAAATAAACTTTTAACATATATGAAATAAATATGAATGGTAGAATAAATGTTTATGCCAATTATATATACCCAAACACTTACAAAAAATTCTTTGAAAATCATTGCCTAACATTTCCTGTAAACCAAGTTATTATATTCCACTGAAGAGCTGAGGCAGACATCATACCTGAGCAATAAAGATACTGGCCATCCACTCAATCTGAGTTTGTGAACTGTCACAACACAGGTGCCTGCAAAACAAGGTTTATAAGACATGTAATCAAAAGGACAGTCGAATTTGCTCCAGTGTATGCTTCATTTAGTGATCAGAAATCTTTTTGGGTTTAATGGATGAATGCTATCAAAAATGGATTATTTCCATGTAACTTGTTTTAGTAATCTGATAAGTATATAATATACGTAAGTAATAGCTTAAATATGCTTATTTGAAAAAAAACTACAGTGTAAGACTTTGGCAGCTCCTACAAACTGATCAGCAATACTTTTGAAAAGATGGAAACACAGAAAAGTTGATATCACTTTGCTTTTTCTGGTACATGATGAGAAATTATCTTTTTGCCCTAGAAATTCTAAAGCTAAGAAAAAAATCATATGTGCACACTCTTTTTAATTTTTTTAAATTAACTAATTTATATATATATATACATATACTAATTTTATTTTTTGACAGGCAGAGCTAGACAGTGAGAGAAAGAGAGACAGAGAGAAAGGTCTTCCTTTTTCTGTTGGTTCACACCCCAAGTGGCCACTACGGCTGGTGCGGTGCGGCCGGCGCGCTACGCTGATCGGAAGCCAGGAGCCAGGTGCTTCCTCCTGGTCTCCCATGTGGGTGCAGGGCCCAAGCACTTGGGCCATCCTCCACTGCACTCCTGGGCCACAGCAGAGAGCTGGACTGGAAGAGGAGCAACCGGGACAGAATCCGGCACCTCAACTGGGACTAGAACCCGGGGTGTAGGCACCACAGGCAGAGGATTAGCCTAGTGAGCCATGGCGCTGGCTAAATTAACAAATTAATATATTTTTAAGGAATACAATTTTTATATGTGCAACTTTAGGAATATAGTTATTCTTCCCACCAATACCCACTCTCCCATCCTTCCTCCTCCTCCCTCTCCCCTCGCCAGTCCCATTCTCCATTAAGATTCATTTTCATTTAACTTTGTACACAGAAGATCAACTCTATACTAAGTAAGGATTTCAACAATTTGCATACAAATGCACACATACACACACACACACACAAAACTGTTTGAGAACAACTATCAAGGTTAACTCTCATAATATAACTCACTGAGGACAGAGGTCCTGCATGGGGAGTTAGTGCACAGTGATTCCTGTTGTTAATTTAACAATTAACACTCTTTAAGTATGACATCAGTGACCACGCAAGGCTCTTGTCATGAGCTATCTAGGCTATGGAAGCCTTTTGAATCCACAAACTCCATCAGAATTTGGACAAGGCCATAAGCAAAGTGGAAGTTCTCTCCTCCCTTTAGAGAAAAGTATCTCCTTCTTTGATGGCTGCTTCTTTCCATTAGGATCTCACTCACAGAGAACCTTCATACAGAATATTTTTTGCCACAATGCCTTGGCTTTCTATGCCTGAAATGCTCTCAAGGGCTTCTCAGCGAGATCAGGAAGCCTTAAGGGCTGATTCTGTGGTCAGAGTGTTACTTCAAGCAACTGTCATTCTATGAGTCTTCTGTGTGTACTGCTTCCCATGTTGGAATGTTTTCTCCTTTTTAATTGTCTATTATAAGTACCCAACACTTGATCCTATTTATATGTTCACTTTAACACTTAATCCTATCTCTCTCTATATATATATTCACTTTAATTCTTAATATGATCACTTTAGCACTTAAGATGAGATTTTTATCACCCAGCTTAATAAGATTTGGGGTCCCATGACAGGTTTTTAAAGTGAACACTCTCTTAAGAGAAGATTTTTTAAAAGGCTGAGACATAGTCCCCATTGTTAGGACTATAAACACTTAACACGAAAAACCACTACATATCTAGTAACATGGATTCAGTAATCTTTATATCCAGGCTTATTAAGTGGATTCATCAAGACTCAGGAACCCTCAAGGCTAACATAGTCTATTAGGGTAACTGTGTATATAATCAATCAAATTATAATACAGTGTGTGAAAGCAAAAATAAAATTGAGCACAAACAGAAACAGCAGACTTAGAAATAACTTTGAAGTTGCTTTGCAGAAGAGAAAAATTTTGTAACCTATGTTAGAATCACATAAGGGACAGTCTAATATAGTAATAGTTTTCATATTTCACATTCCTGTATTATTAAAAATGATTTACTTAAAACTTTTAGAAAAAAAATTTCCCCAAAATGCTTGCTTTGTTCATTAGAGTCTCATGAAGAAACTGTCCCTGTATATTTTCTTGTGCAAGTACAATTCCCTACACATGACATTTTCATTATATACCAAAAAATACTGTTGGTAAAAAGAAGTAATAGTGATGAAAGGTGAGAGCTATCTGCTAAGGCTTTTGAGGCATGCAGGTGTGGATTGAAAGAAGAATGAGAGATGAGTCTACTGGATCGTCCAAGAGAGAAAGGACATCCCGAGAGGAGTGGAGGGAGTGGAGGGATCAGCATAGCATATGGAAGGGGGGAATCTGTAAAGGAAGCACCTGCTAAACAAGCAGATGCAGAGCAGCAAGGAATGGGTGAGGAGCTCAGGATGATGGAAAGCAGGAAAGCTTGCTGGAGCTGAAGCTGATGCAGTCACACCTGACCTGCCTTGCCAATAGTCCTGCACTTTATACTGCAGTTGACTGGATGCACAGAATAGTTTTAAAGTACGAGAAAAACATGACACATGGTTGAAAAGTCTCTTTTGCTAACTGAGTGGAGAATGTACCCAAAACAAAAGCCAAATCAGAGGCATAAAGAACACTTAGAACTCTCACAATGATCTAGGAAGATGAATGAAGACCCAGCTCTGAGGACAGAGTGGAGCGGGTGGATGAGGGGACAATGAAGAAACTGAGATGGCATGGGCTAGTGATTTATTAGGCAAAGGCAGGTGAGGCAGCAAAAGATATTTAAAAGAATCCCTGGGGATACCCATAGGCTACTTGTAATATTAATGGGTAGAGGCACATATATAGAAAGAACGGGTTTGAAACTGGGATAAGTTCCCTTATAGTCTTACCTTAGTTTTTATCTGTGTTTAAAAACTGAGTTTTGCCTACTTAACAAATAAAGCTGGATTCCACAATCCTTTAATACCTATGGAACAAATCAGATGTGCTTCTCTTAAGAGGTATTGCCAAATAAGATGGACATAGGGACTGGGACAGATCTGACAACTGAAACATTGAATTTTCTTCTTCTTCCACTAAAAATATTTAGAAAACACTTTAACTCCACTTAGGTCAAACACTTCCTCTCTATAGCTCTGTCTGACACAAACTGAAGGGATTCTTTTACTTAAAGGGTGACCAATATTGAAATCCAAAAGTTGCCAATTGTTGACTTACCAGTGATGTTTGTCAGAATATGCAGTCAATCCCCAACTATATCACATAGGAAAAAACACACAAATATATTAAAATTGATAAATTTTGTATGATTAAAAATAGAATCCTATGTTAAGGAAGTGGGATTTAACAGTGGGGATGCATCAGAGAACAGATTTCCACAAGTGATGACTCAGGGGATATTATTTAGCAGGAAGTAAATGCTAAATGTTAAGGGATTTGGCTAAGGATTTTATACAGGTTGAAGGAAGGGGGTAGAAAGGAGTCTTGGGATGTTAATGGGGCAGAGAGAGAAATCTAAGATACCAATTCAAATGTCTATGAGAATGGCCAAGATAAAATACCCATATATATTGACCTACTGATGCTGGAGGAAATTTAAAACTTGCCAATTGCAACACAAATATATATGCTGGGCTTAAAAATTAAGTATAAACAGAAACGAGAGAATATTTTTGGTAAACACAATGTTGGAAGTAACCACATACAGTTCATTAACATGATGCTTCATGTTTAAAGAAAAGTATTACTACAAAATTTACTTCATCAGACAATTTGTGATAAATTATGGTATAAATTGAATGCTGGAACAGTGTCCACATCCTGTGTACCATTTATTTGTTACAAGTTCAGTATCAAATGCAGTACAACAAATATGGTAAATGATGGTCAGGAACAAAATATTGTAAAAAAAAAAAAAACAAAAAAACAAAAAACCAAGCACCAGGAGGCCATAGGTCAGGATTTACTTTCCTGCAAGTACAATTGCCTGGAACATTCCATAAGCACCCATGTTGTGATGTGACTGATAAGGATCCATGTCCTTCACAGGAGACAGCTATCTGAGGATTTGCAGCCCACAGAGGAGATTGTAACCAAGCAGGACAGTGATGATGGTCTCAGGGGGATATCACCTCCCCTCATCTATTCAAGCATCCCTTGATCTGCCTTAGGGCTGCTACCACAGTCAAAGCAACTTAAAGGAATTTGCCTAAAACTTACTTGTCAGTAATACCTCTCATGCCTCTGAGCCCTAAATTCTTTAACAGATTTACTTTCCCTTGTGTTTTCCTTTTAACAACTCTTCCATTTCAAACTTTACCTTGTTGGGGGCTTCATTTTCTTTTTCACTCCAAGATAAAACTTCATGGAGCTGAGAGAAAACATTTTTTCATGTTTACTACTCTGTAAGGCAAACAAAATAATATTAATTAAACAGATTTCATACATTTTCTTTAATTTCTCTTGAGTGTTAATAACTGTGTTTAGCACTTTTTAAGTTTCTCTAAGGTTTCGTGAGTACCAAGTTTTAGTAAACAAAGACTATTTTAATCACAACGTAAACAAACACATTTAGCTTTAGATACATATATATGTATGTTTATAAATATGTATGTATGAATATATACAAACTTACATATGAATAGTTCCCTAATCCTTAATTCAGTAACATTTGGGAACAGATGTGCATGAGAACTAATGTGTTTTTCATATTTTAAAAATATAACAAGATGCATATGCTGTATGTTATGTAACTCCATCACACCACCCCTGTTGTCTGGGCAGCACCTTGTACTCGAATATGTTCATATTTCTGTGCTGAAATCTATGACATTTCATACATTGTAAACCAAATAAATAAAAGATAGAAATGTCTTCAGGTTGGATTGTGGGATAATTTATCACTAAATGAGATAATTTTCAGTACAATTTGGACTTCAAAATTATGGGAAACAGACTGAATTTGTATGAGCAGATATTGAACTATCCCAATATCTATACTAATGAAAACTATCATTAATAACTCACTGAAGCATACTAAGCAACAGGACTGACAACTGACCTTTAATTAATTATGTATTTTTCACACCCTCCCAATATATTTCTTTTTAATATTCAAAAATTTTTCGTTCAAGTATGCTTGAATGTATTTTATCACAAGAGAGTTGACTGGTAGTGGCAAAATTGGATTCATTATACTCTAAAACTTAAAAAGAAAACGACATACACTGTTTCTCAACAGTTAAGACAAGGGCAGTCAAGTCATCCTTCTCAAAGTGTCAATTTTACATCTACAGATTTCATTTTAGGTGCTCTATTAGTTCTCACAGATCAGGGGGAACATATGGTATTTGACTCTTGGGGACTGGCTTATTTCACTAAGTATGATGTTTTCCAGATCCTTCCATTTTGTTACAAATGACTGGATTTCATTTTTTTTTACCGCTCTATAGTATTACATAGTGTAATATCTCATAATTTCTTTATCCAGTCTTTGGCAGATGGGCATTTAGGTTGATTCCATGTCTTAGCTATTGTGAACTGAGCTGCAATAAACTTGGAGGTGCAGATAGCTCTTATGTTTATTGATTTTATTTCCCTTGGGTAAATTCCCAGGAGTGGGATGGCTGGGTCATATGGTAGGTCTACATTCATATTTTTGAGGTATCTCAATGCTGCCTTCCGTAGTGGTTTTACCAGTTTATATTTCCACCAATAGTGGGTTAGAATACCATTTTCTCCAGAACCTCACTAGCATTTGTTGTTTGTTGATTTCTAATGAAATCCATTCTAACTGGGGGAGGTTAAAATTTGTGTTTTTAATTTGCATTTTCCTGAAAGCTGCTGATCCTGAACATTTTTTCATGTGTCTACTGGCTATTTGGATTTCCTCTTCTGAAAAATGTGTTTAAGTCCTTGGACCATCTCTTAACTTGGTTGTTTCTTTTGTTGCTGTGCAGTTTCTTGATCTCTTTGTAGATTCTGGTTATTAATCCTTTATCAGTTGCATAGTTTGCAAATAATTTCTCCCATTATGTCAGTTGCCCCTTCACTTTCCTTACTGTATCTTTTGTCATACAGAAACTTCTCAGTTTGAAGTAATGCCATTGTTAAATTTGGCTTTGATTGCCTGTGCCTCTGGGGGCATTTCCAAGAACTTTTTGCCTGTGGCAATGTCTTGTAGAGTTTCCCCAATGCTAATAATTTAAGGGTATTGAGTTGTAAATGTAGATCTTTAATCCCTTCAGAATCTCTCCTTTACAGGCAGAGTGGACAGTGAGAGAGAGAGACAGAGAGAAAGGTCTTCCTTTTGCCATTGGTTCACCCTCCAATGGCTGCCGCGGCCAGCGCACCATGCTGATCCGAAGCCAGGAGCCAGGTGTTTCTCCTGGTCTCCCATGGGGTGCACGGCCCAAGCACTTGGGCCATCAGCAGAGAGCTGGCCTGGAAGAGGGGCAACCGGGACAGAATCTTGTGCCCCGACCAGGACTAGAACCCGGTGTGCCAGCGCCGCTAGGCAGAGGATTAGCCTATTGAGCCGTGGCGCCGGCTTTAATCCATTTTGAGTGGATTTTTGTGTCAGATGTAAGGTAGGGGTCTTGCTTCATACTTCTGCATGTGGAAATCCAGTTTTCCCAGCACCATTTGTTAAAGAGATTATCGTTGCTCCAGGGATTGGTTTTTCCTTGGTCAAATATAGTTGGTTGTAAATGTTTGGGTCGATTCCTAGTGTTTCTATTCTGCTCCATTGGTCTATTCATCTATTTTTGTACAATTACCAGGCTGTTTTGATTATAACTGCCCTGTGGTATGTCTTGAAATCTGGTATTGTGATGCCTCTGGCTTTGTACTTGTTGTTTAAGACTGTTTTAGCTTTACTTTGCTAAGTTTGATTACAGTGTGTCATGGTGAAGATCTTTTCTGGTCATGTCTATTAGGAGTTCTGTGTGTTTCCTGTTCTTGGACAACCTTTTCTTTCTCCAAATTAGGGAAGTTTTCTGTTATTATTTCACTAAAAAGGCCTTCTAATCACTACTCTTTCCACACCTTCAGGAAATCCCAGAATCCATATGTTAGGTCATTTTATAGTATCCTGTAGATCTCCAGCAGTGTTTTTTAGTTTTCTAATTTCCTCTTCTTGTCTTTGGTTCAACTGTATAATTTCCTGTGCTTTGTCTTCTAAGTCTGATATTCTTTCTTCTGCTTTACTGATTCTGTTGTTAAAGCTCTCCATTGCATTTTTTATCTGTTCTATTGAATTTTTCATTTCACTTTGATTTCTCTTTAGATCTCAAATTTCATGGGAGAAATTTTATTTCATATCCTGTACAGATTTCCGTAGTTCCTTAATTTGCTTCTGATTACTTCTATGCAATCTTATGATCAATTTTTTAATTCCATTTCTTTGATCTCATCATCTTCACAATCTAGTATTGAAGTGTTGTGTTCTTTTGGGGGCATCTATTGTCTTCCTTATTCTTGTTTCTTGAATTGGTGTGTTTGTTGTTTGGCATTTGTGGAGATGTTTGTTGGTTCTGTTCATTTTTTTTTACAAGGATTATATTAAGTTATCTTAGCTTTATTTAACAATAATAATTTGTTGGGAAGATATTTCACAACTACTTTATTTTTTACCCCAAAAGTGTTTGCAAGTTATTTTTATCTATTTAAACTTTGAGGTCTATTATCTAATCATTTTGCCAAATTCTAAAAATATTTTCCTTTCAGAAACTAAAAATAAGCTATATATCATCATTAGTAGACTAAACATCCATTAACTTCTGTCAGTGAATTTTGTAATTTTCTTAAACTGATTTTTTACTTCTTATTAAGGCCATCTCCTTGGGCTGGTACTGTGGCATAGCAGGTAAAGCCGCTCTCTGTAGTGCTAGTATCCCTATGGGAACTGGTTTGAGTCCTGACTGCTCCACTTCCAATCCAGCTCTCTGCCACGGCCTGGGAAATCAGTAGAATATGGCCCAAATCCAAATGGACCCAGAAGAAGCTCCAGCCCAGCTCAGACTATTGTAGCCATTTAGGGAGTGAACCAGCGAATGGAAGACTTCTCTCTCTCTCTGTCACTCTCCTTCTCTCTGTCTCTCTCTCTGACTCTGTAACTCTGCCTTTCAAATAAATAAATACATCTTAAAAAATAAAGCCATTTGTTATAAGTTTCAGCATTTTTACTTTTATTTCCAACTGAGAATTGATTTTTGCACATTGATTGTTTGGTCTATTTCCTAAGTTTTTAAGGAAGAACATTTTAATAATTTGTCCTTCCCATTACAGAAAAATGAGGTAGCTTAGTATAACAGCAAATACCATACCATAGGATATATTCAAGGGGAGGAAAGTTAGCTATTAGTAATGTAAGCAGCAGAGGTGACTCCTAGGCATTTTGGTCAGAGGTTAAAACAGATCATGTCTTCTCCAAGAGTTCAAACAACTATTCCCCCAGATACAGTTGCAACTGAGGCAGCAGGGTAAAGCAGCAGCAATTTCAGCATTAGGAGGAAGATGAAGCCTTCATATCTTGGAATGAGAAATACTATGCTTGGGGTATAGTCTTTATAGCTACAGGGTATTGATAGACCATGGACTGGATATACTTTGAAGAAATTCGGATAGTAGACTGAGAGTTTCAAGCAATAAAAGAAATTCCCCCAAATCTTCTCCTGGCACATAGCTCATTACGTTATACCATATTCTGTACAAAGGAATACAAATGAGATAATTTGGGAGGAGATCAGCAATTGTGGATAGAAATGCCTTTTCTGTTTCAATCTTCAAACTGCATATGCCTAAACAGGAACTATAAGGACCCTAATGGGAAGTTATGTAAAAGAAAATCTTGTTTGGCAAGACAACTTCACTGTTGGCTCAATACAATCATCTCTTGATATATGCAATTACTTGAGAATTTCTCTAAAAAGCTCAATATACTAAAGTGTTAAGATGCCTGTGATGTACTGCTTCAGCTACTTTTTTTTTTTTTTTTGAGAGGTAGAGTTAGACAGTGAGAGAGAGAGAGAGACAGAGAGAAAGATCTTCATTCCATTGGTTCATCCCCCCAAGTGGCCGCTACGGCCAGCACGATGTGGCCGGTGCACTGCGCCGATCTGAAGCCACAAGCCAGGTGCTTCCTCCTGGTCTCCCATGCGGGTGCAGGGGCCAAGCACTTGGGTCATCCTCCAACTGCCCTCCTGGGCCACAGCAGAGAGCTGGACTGGAAGAGGAGCAACCAGGACTAGAACTTGGCGCCCATATGGGTGCTGGTTCTGCAGGCAAGTAAGCAATGGTGCCAGCCTCAGCTACTGTATTTCAAAGTAAAAAATTAAACTAAGATAATTGATGAGTTGCTTAAAAATTACTCCTGTAGCTAGAAAAAGTTTTCTTACTAATAC